GAAATTAGTTTTTTTTATTCAAGTCTCAATCCTAGCTGCGTTGTCAACAGTTTCATAAACGATGAGGATCAATGATTTTCATGCAATTCGTACGGATTGGAGTGGAGGAGAGAGAGAGAGAGAGAGAGAGAGAGAGAGAGAGAGAGAGAGAGGGGTTGTTGGTCTGTTTAGAAAAGAAAATAGAGAGGGAAAGAGACTGTTGGTTTGTTGAGAAAAAATAAATAGAGAGGGCGAGAGAGGTTGCTGATCTGTTTAGAAAAGTAAGTACAGGGAGGGGGAGAGAGAGAGGGAGAAAGGTTGTTGGTCTGTTTAGAAAAGTAAATAGAGAGAGGGAGATAGATAAAGAGAGAGAGAGAGAGAGAGTGATGGGGGGAGGGAGGTGGTTGGTCTGTTTAGAAAAGTAAATAATGACTCATGATTATTGATTCCTGGTCACAGATGGTCAGTCCAAGACCACCCACCCACCATCACGCGGCTAAAATAAATAAATAAATAAATAAACAAAAACGAAATAAGGTGAAAGAAAGTTCGCTCAATATTTTCAGAGGCGAAAGAAGACGACACTTTGTAAATGCTTCGCTTTCCCATACATTTTAAAAGAATTCCTCTGAGTAGGCAACATTTGGCAAAGAGGCTTTTTTTAAAATTCACAATCAGCTTGGTATTTACTCTGCTTGTCAACTTTTGACATAAGGCCATAAGTGTAGGCGACACGGTGAGGATCGAACTGACGACAGACCCGAGTTCTTTACTCATTTATATTTATCATAACCCATATGCAACTGGCGTCAGTTTAAACTGACGACGTTCCCCCGTCCACATACCTCAACTATAGCAGTCCGGCATTCGCAGACTGTATGGCAACGAATGCTGGACAATCTCCTCAGAGATGAAGAAGAAACTTGAAGCAACAGAAATGTGGTTCTACAGAAGGATACTGAGGATACCATGGACCGAACTTGTGAGCAACGACAAGGTTTTTGAGAAAATGGAAACAAAAAGGAAACATACACTTAAACTCAGGAAGAGGCAGTTGAAATTTCTGTGGCACGTAATGAGAAAGGAGGGCTTGGAGAATCTGATACTCACAGGAAAGAGGGACAGAGGAAAGCAGCGTGTAACGTAACTTGATGTGCTTGAGTAAATGGTTGGTAGTAAATGGTTGCTTGGGAGAAATAACAAAAAGGCAAAAATTATTAAGAACTAAAAGTGACAAGAAGACGTGGAGGGCCATGATCGCCTACGCCCTAAAGACAAACACACGTATATATATATATATATATATATATATATATATATATATATATATATATGTGTATGGGTATATATATATATATATATATTTTTATATGCGCGGCATTAGTGTAAAACTCTAAATATCAGTGATAGAACTGACATAATAAATATATATATATATATATATATATATATATATATATATATATATGTGTGTGTGTGTGTGTGTGTGTGTGTGTATGTGTGTAGTTCTGTTCAAGCGTCTCGGCTCCAGTCTCTTTCCTACTGCCGAAAGCTTGTATCACTGTGGTTTTTCTATAAATACTTACATGGTTCGGTTGAGCACTTTGTGTGATATCTAGACTCTTTGAAATTAAATGCTGTACGTGAGTCTGGCGACGAGGTCTCATCAATTTACAGTTGACTTGGCTTAGATGTAACCGTAATTCTATGCTAAAACTTTCTTTTCTCGCACTTCTCATTTGTAGAAACTCCCTTTCGGCTCCATGCTTTACAGCCAACTTTGATCTTCAAAAATTTAAATGCAATATCAATCGTTATCTGTCTTCTTGATTCCCCTGCTTTCATTGTTTTCGCTCCTTAATAATGTTTTTCTCTTTTTTCTTATTTTTTCACACTCACTAACCTATTGAATTTCAATTTCACTGACTTTACTGCCTTGCCTGGAGTGAAATGATAAACAAAAAACATAAAACAAATAGCGTCTTTTTTATTCTGTCTGTTCTTGCTATGAAAAAGAAATAGTCTATTGTTTATCTGAGGCAATAGCAAGGTGTAAGTTACGTAATTAAGAAAACTAAAGAACAATCATAAGTATAATATATATATATATATATATATATATATATATATATATATATATATATATATATATATATATATATATATATATCCCTTATCACTATACGGGTTTTGTTTGCATAACTCAATATCTTATTGTCAATGGCTGCATCTTTTTCTTTTTTTTCTTTTTTAAATATATTTATTTTTTAAATTTCTAACTTTTTAGTTGAAAAATGCTAGCGTATTAACGCTAGTTGAAATAGCTGTTCTCATGAGGTCATTTTGAATTTCTCTATTATGTAATTTATATGCTCTGTTATAATAAATACATTGAGCTCTTTTTGTCGATCAGTTTTAACATTTTATATTATTAGGATCCACTTGGATTATATACCAACGGTTTATTACCGGTACTATATATATATATATATATATATATATATATATTTACAAATCTACCATTCGTCTGTGCATAGAATACTGTTGCCATATCTGGTCTGGTGCTTCTGCTATACATCTTGAGATTCCTAACAAAATCCAAAGAAGGATCTGTAATGTAATCGATCCTGACCAGACGTCTCGACTTCAGTCACTTTCTCATCGACGTGACGTAGCTTCCTTATGTCTTTTCTGCAAATATTTTCATGGCAACTGTTCTGATGCGCTGTTTTGCTCGGGTGCCCCGACTCCATGAAATTAAGCGTGATACTAGATTGGCAACTAGGTCCCACCCGTTTAATGTTGAAATAGTTAAATGCAAATGCCATTTCTACTCCAACTGTTTCATTTCTCGGGTTTCCCACCTGTGGAACTCGCATCTTGCTTCCCTGATAACTAGAACATTTAAATGCAATATCAATCACCATCTTCTGTCATCTTGAATCCCATTTATCTTTTATGCTTTCGTCAATCCTCCCTATTCTCAGTTTTCTCTTTAACTGTCACTCCTTTTAACTCATTGCGCACGAGTGGCATTCCCGTCTTTCTCGAGGTGAAATGATTAAAAATAAAATAATTATGATGCATATGTAATTTATTTGTTTATAATATATATATAATGTATATAAAGCCATAAATAATCTGCACTTTTGTTTTTTAGTAGGTTTATATAAATAGAGGATTAGCAAACTGTGAGTAGAGTGAAGTTGAGAAAAATAATGTCGGTACGATACCTTAATCCGTAGCTATTAGTAATTAGCTATTAGTAACAGAAAGATTTGTCGTATGGAAGAAGGAAAAGTTACATTGACAAATAGTTAGCTCGTAGGAAAAGTAAGAAATGCCTTTCTTAGGCCGGAAAACTTGTCAAAATAAAGAAAGATATCCATTAGTTATCGATTTAGAAGGATGGTCCTGATTATAATATCGATAAACTGATCGCTAACTTTTACAGAAATATTGGACCTAACCGTTTTGCGTGCGAAAACAGACTTTTGTGTGTATGTGTGTGTGTGGGGGGGTTTACAAAAACTTTCTTTAAAATAAAAAACAAACGGATATATACATTTTTAAAGTTAAAAACATATATATAAATTAATAAAAGTTATGTTTCGGCTTATTCTTCGTTTAAGGTAAATAATTAAAACTTCAAATGTTTGTACACATGCTTCAGAAAAAAAATCCGCAGACAATTTTCTTTTTAATCTGTTATTAATTAAAAAAAACAAAACAAAAACAAAAACAAGGTTTAAAACATGGTTGAAAAGTGCAGAAAATTAAAAAAATAATATGCAGACATCAGTTGATGCCACCACACTTTGTAAATAGCAGCCAAGCGCCAATATATCTGGAGAAAATGAAAGACTGGTAAAAGCGACAATGAATGAAATGATTATAAATTTGATGTCAATGCAGTTGAAAAAATAATGAAGAATTTCTGCTTTTCTTCAGACCAATATACTACCAGTTTGTTAATTCTGTCTGTCTTTGAGCTCAAACAATCATCAAAATAATGTTCTAACTTAAATAAATAGTTTTATACCACCACATATAACACCAACATATAATGTACATAATATGTATCTATAAAACAGACAGTTACCTTGAAGATTATGCAAAAAATTATTTGTAGTCGAAGGCATACAACTGCGTCCAAAATATATTTAGTTGAAGACATAAAATTTTGTTCAGAATATTTTGATTTCAGAGGTGTTGATATGCCGCTAAACAAAATCAACCAATCAATTTGAGTTCAATCGTTCGTCCCGAATCGCTAGTGCGCTCTGCAACTTAAAAAATCACCAACCCATGTCGAGAATTGTGATGAATCTATACTCCACCAATGGCGCGCTCTTTACCGATTTTAACAGCATTCTTCAAATTATATATCTTTTTAATTAACTCCACATCAAACCTGTCAGCGAGTTGCGAACGCTACGAAAGGAAAATGAAAAAAAAAGTCGCTCTCTAAACATAGGCTTCGAGCATCATATCTGGCTCACATAAACAAATACCCCCACCTATAGAAAATATAAAATACAATTCACACGTCGGAGCCACTCATTAATGTCGCTACTAAAACAAAAGCATGGCAAAAATCGCTGAGTCAAGTATCCACCATGACTGCATAAAAGGGCCCGCTCGAGACACCGAGTTCGCCAGTGGCCTCGTGTCAAGCTAATCGACACAAGTTTCAACGCCGAGCACTACCGACTCCAGGTCGCTCACCTCACCTACAAAAAGAAACTTCACCTTGATTCTTTATACCGGCAATGCAGAGAATTTTATTTTAACATATTTATCTCCTTTTTTTTCGCACCACCATCAGTACGTTGTTGTTTTCGGTTGTTCTTTTCTAGCCATATTGGTAAACTTAGCAGAAATGATTGTTACTTCTTATTAATTATTGTGGTGATTAATTTTCACTGTATTAATACCTATTCATTTACAGGATGACTGTATGTATTTGGCTGTACATCTTAGAATATTGTTCAAGTACATGGTTTGATTTATGCAGCATCATGTATCACTTCAAATGGAACGACATCTACCTCACTCCACTATTATTTCTTCGACCTGATGGTAAGTAAAATACTGAGCATTAATATCTTTTTAACCTTGACTTTTTGCCAAAAATAAGTAAGTACATCTATAAATCCATCAGATACATCCTTCTATCTTCTCAGCCTGTGAAGGATCAGTTTTTGGACTTCGTCCTTCACCAGATCTTAAAACCTTTGTCGTTTATGGGAGGAATACCATACCACGCTAGTCCAGTGTGTGTTGGTAAGGGCTTATAGCACTAAGTATTCATAAGCGATCACCAATCAGGCTCAACGTAGCTCAAGTTGGGTGATCGGACGTAAACCGATGTTTCAATGTGATATGGCCATAAGTGCGGGCATACATACCCCCTATATATATATATATATATATATATAGTTTTTAGGTCTTATGAATTGGATCGTGATTACGATTCAAATGTAATAAATTATAACCATGAAATATTAGTGTTTGAGATTTTATATATATATATATATATATAAATATATATATACAAAAATGCAAAACTACAAATATCCAAATGTTTATGTGGCCGAATAGTCTAGTTTCCCAAAAGCCTAAAAGAGAGTGGGGTATACTAATAACACCACTCCCCTAAAAAAAAAAAAATACTAGAAAATACTTACATAAGAAAAAATCAGACTAGGAAAGACGAAGAGACCCAAAGTCAAGCAACTACATAAGCAGAAACTAACATTGCTTGATGCCCGGCTATCCAGACAGAGCAAAAAGCACTTCATAGTGTCAAATCTCAATGGATTACAGCTTGAGTCGTTACTTAAGTTTCACGTTCACATGATCTTCAGGCGGCCAGAACACAACCTCCATATATATATATATATATATATATATATATATATATATATGAACATAATAAAATAGGTAGCATACATTTATATTACAAAGAGTTAATCATAACTTGAATCAATTTCGCCAATAATTGCATTAATATTGCTAATTGATTTAAGGTATGATTAACTCTTTGTAATATATATAATATATATATATATATATATATATATATATATATATATATCAAACATACATCATACATTGTGAAATATAACAGACAACGAATGTCTTATAACAGACAATGATCATGAGCCGTTCTAAACTTCGTATAATTGCTTAATTTCGGGAGAAAATAAAGACAAAAATTGTTCAACATTTGCATATTTTTTAATTATGCAGTTCCTTGATTTAAGCTTTCGGCTCACATGAGCCATCTTCAGAGTGGTTATACGGGCATTTAAACAAACATATTCACCATCAAAGATGATTTTCTGTTATGTTGACATAGAAGATTGCTATGCAACTACAACGGTCGAGGAATATAAATCAAATGAGAATCAATTTCTTTACAAACTTTACATCTGAAAAGAATACATCAATGAAACCAAATTCTCGACAAAAATTCTCTTTACAAAAATACGCCAATAAAATCTGATCTAAAAACTGATGCCTTACAAAGAATACATATTCTAATCATACGAATGCATTGTAAAAGTCTTGTCGGCATTAAATAACATATTGATACGCCGTAAACCAAACCAAACCTTATGTATGTATGTATGTATATATATGTATGTATATATGTATGTATGTATATATGTATCTATGTATGTATATATGAATGTATGTATGTATATATGTATGTATGTATAATGTATGTATGTATGTATATATGTATGTATGTATATATGTATGTATCTATGTATATATGTATGTATGTATGTATGTAGCCGAGCGTTTAGAACGTTCGCTTTCTGATCATGAGACCCGGGTTCTAATCTCACCGGTTGATTTGTCAGGAAGTGTGACGATCCCAGCGTGCGGGTCCTTTGGAAAGTGCTGGTAAACCGTGTCATGCTTAGACGGAACCCTTGGGAGACGTCGATAGCTGTGCTAGCACGAAGTCACAAGTCATCGTGACCGAGGTTTTGAGTGTGATGGCCTTGTCCAGATTGTTGATCACGCACTCTCTCCCTGCATAGTTACAGTATATGGCTCTGTGGGTGCTGAACAAACACAAATGTGCCTGAGCGAGCGTCTGGTATAGGGATTGGCTAGCCGTCCTAGTAGGCGGGTATCTTCGAATACGTGTCACCAGCTATTTGTTATATGTATGTATATGTCTTTATGTATATATATATTCAAACAATTAATAAAACTCAGTTTTAAACCCAACATTCCATAATTAACACGCTAATAAGATAACACCAAGCCAAAAAACAAAAACAAAAACAGTTAGCTACTAAATAAGAAAAAAAAATAAATCAATTAATGAAGAAGAAAATTTTTATATGGCACAAAAATATTTTTCAACTTTTTCCTTTGTCAATGAACTTAATTCAGTGGTGAATATTATTAAAATTACTCGAACATTATCGAGTGAAAGTGTTATTTTAAGAAATTCTTTTTAATCTTGATGCAAAATCCGATATTGTAAATTGTAAATAGAAATATTTGGGTTTTTCAGGCAAGCTTCATGTTCAGGTAATTCAAAAAAATGGCCAACCATTCGCCAGTCTGACTACGATTTCCCTTCCCCTAAAAGAATGGTGCCGGATCGTTTTCGCTTTTGACAGTGAAAGTGTAAGTAACTATCTTCCTTCTTATAATTTTACTATAAATATTACATTTCATATTCATTTCACAATCATCACTGTCATACGACATAACATTTAAAACGAACGTAATATAACGCGTAAATAAAACTCTGAACGTATTTTTACCTAAACAAATGTAATCTTTCTTGAAAAAGGGTCTATGAATTATGAAATTGCCTAGCATTTGGATAATACATGTACAACATCGGTTCTTATGCCGAGAAGTTAAGAAATAGTTAATAAAATAATTAAAAAAGATGTTTCATTGGTTTACAATGCAATCTTTATAGAATAAATATTACTGCCTAAATATAATTTCAAACAAGCAACATGGCTTTCTGTTCTCTCGGTCAAACGCCGATGTGTCGGTTATTGCCGAAATAGTCTGTTAAGCATTAGATAAGAATGGCTAAGCTCAGTCTGTTGTTTTAGATATCTCAAAGGCATTTGACAGGGTTTGGAAAGATGGTTTTCTTCACGTGTTGAAGGGTTATGGCGTTTCTGGATGTTTCTTTGATTTGATTCAATCTTTCTTATCAGACCGTGTAATGAAAGTGATCTTGAACGGCCACTCCTCTAGGTCTTTTTGTGTTAATGTAGATGTCCATCAGGGCTCTATTCTTGGAACTACATTTTTCATCAACGACCTTCCTTATTTCATTTCCCAAATTGGTGCCTATGCTGATGGCAAACTATTTATTATTGTCTTAACAGGAAGTTTCACAGCTTCGATAAAATCAAATTGGTAGCGGATCTCGTAAGTGAACACAATCTGTTGTTAACTGGGACAAGAAATGCCTTGAGATCTTTAACGCCCCACCCCACCACGAAACCGCTTTCTGTCAACCATTTTACACTTTTCACCTTCCATCGGCATAGATTTCAGGAGAGCAACTTACTTGATCTCACGTGGAATGATTCATTCAACTGCTAAGTCGGTTCCCTACGTTGTGCTTGACAATATATCCCACCGGAATCCATTTTGCACATTTATAAATCAACAATTCGCCCATGCATCGAATATTGCTGCTACATCTGGTCTAGCGCATCTACTATATACCTAAAGATTCTTGATAAGATCCAAATAAGAATCTGCAATATTATCGGTTTTGACCTGGCATCACAGCTTCAGTCACTGTTCCACCGTCATAACGTGGGTTCCCATTTTCTCTTCTATAATCATTTTCATGGCAGTTGCTCTGATGAACTTTACTCTTTGGTAACTCGACTTCACAAATTTAAGCGCAGTACTAGATTGGTAGGTATGTCTCATTTAATTTAACTGTTGAAATTGCTAGTTGTTACCGTAAGTTCTATGTTAATAGTTTCTTTATATCTTTTCTTCTTTTTCCACACTTCTCGTCTGTGGAACACCAATGTTTACTTGTCAAATACGATCTTCAAAAATTTAAATTCAGTGTCAATCGCCGTCTTCTGTCTCCTTGAATATCGTTCCATTATTGACTTCTCTTGACTTTCAGTAAGCGCTTACATTTTAGTGACTTTTATCGCCTTGCGTAGGGGAAATGATTATATATATATATATATATATATATATATATATATATATATATATATATATATAATAGTAGTAAATATGCACATAAATATGTAATCATATATCTAAAATTTCACTGTTTTCTTTTTTTAATTTGTAGGTCTGATTAATTGGATCGTATTTTACGATTCCAATGGAATAAATTATGACCATGGAATATTAGTGTTTAAGCCTTTTTTATTATATATATATATATATATATATATATATATATATATGTAAAGATTTTTCAGAATTAACTTGTAGAAAAGACAATATGTATTAAGGAAAAAGACAATAGAAAAACTGTATTTTTAGCCGAAGCGTTTCGTCCAATGTGGACTTTTTCAAGGCAAAAAACAAAATGAATTTATTAAAACACCGTAACAAAAATAACAAAATCATCCGTAATAATAAATTACATGAAAACAGATTTCATCATACTACCGATCATCCAGAACAATATATCCCATCTAAATAATCTCAAAATAATCACATATACATCCCAAACCATTATGGATATAATCAAATACTCAAAACACCCATAGCAATATTATTTCTGAAACAGGCATATATAAAATAAGTTGCCAAAACTGTTTCTCACAATACATTGGAGAAACATGCAAAATTTAAAAAAAAAAAAGTATCTATGAGCACAAATATTTTAAAAAAGCATCTATGATCACAAAAATTTAAAAAGCATCTATGAGCACTAGTCATACATAGAAATAAATTCAACTACAATTTTGATTTTATAAATGCTACACTCATAAATAAAAAAAAATAATTTACTCACAAGGAAAATCCTCGAGAGTGCCGCTATTGAATATTATAGAAATCTACGCCAAAGTTTTTTTTTCCCAATATAACCTTTTCTAACAGAATCACTACCCTCCCAAGCCAACGTACACAACAAATCAAAAGAAAACGGTTGTATCCGTCAACACAATACAAACATTATTTCTACACGTGAAAATATTCTGTTTAAAAAATATTCTCTTCAGACATAATGCAACTGACGTAATTCTTCAGATGACCATACAAGTGCGTTTCTAAATTCTTCTAGTTGCTAACGACATTTTGTTTGTTATTTATAGATACTTTGTTTTAATAAATTCATTTCGTTTTTGCCTTGAAAATGTTCACATCGGACGAAACGCGTCAGCTAAAACAACAGTTTTCTTATTGTCTTTTTCCTTAACACACACACACACACACACACACACACACACACACATATATATATATATATATATATATATTTAAAAAAATCAAATTCAACCCGAGCAAGGCAGTAAAACTACTAAGACACTTGATGTGAAAGAATTACAGAACAAAACATTATTAAAGAGCAGGAACAATAGAAGACTAATCAGGAGGACAGTAGATAACGATTGACATTGCATTTAAATTTTTGGAGATCAAAGTTGCCGGAAAGAGCCGGAAGAGAGTTCCAAACGAGAAGTGCGTGAAAGGTCGGTTACATCGAGCCACTTCAAAGTGTAAAGACGTTGTTGCCAATCTAGTACAACAATTAAATTAAAAGACTCTAGGTACTATATATATATATATATATATATATATATATATATATATATATATATATATATATATATATATATATATTTTAAAAAAGTATGCTATATTTATGGGTAAAATTGCTCAATATCAGGGGTAGGACGTATGTAAATATAAATATAATAGTGGACAATACTGAACGACGACGACTGAGGTCAATACTGAGCGTTTCATGCGCGAACGCAATTTTTAGGGTTTTATGTTTTGCCTCCACTCTATATATTATGGTCAACGGTGCATTATGGGTAGCAAGGTCTATTGTATTATCGTAACGGTTATAGGCTATGGTTATATTTCAAATTATTCTAGAGGTTATTGAAAAATAATTTTGAATCGAAATGCATTTTTAGACATAATAGTGCTCAATCTGATTAGACAGAGCTAAGAAATTTATATTAATGAATACATATATACCTACGTTTGATGTGCGACACTCGTACCCGATGAGTTGAGTAACCAACAAAACTCGAGTCGCACATCAAACGTAGGTATATGTGTATTTATTAACACACACACACACACACACACACACACACACACACACACATATGTATATATATAGGATAAATGCAAATATAAATTTTTTTACAGTTGATTGGGGTTATATTCAGCACTTCTACTGAAGAGTTTCATTGACAAACCGTTGTGTAATCGTTCGGTCCGCTCGTCAGGAGCTTTTAGCAAATGTCTGTCGATTTTCTCATTTTCCTCATTTTTATATGAAGTTAAAAAATTAATTTATCAGCTTTTTATTGATGTTTGGCAGATTTTTTTCTTCCACGTGTGTATGTGTATTCGCGTGTGTGTATGTACGCGTATGTATGCGTACCCCTGAACGTGTGCGCATGTGTATTATGTCATGTTTATTTTTTCGTTTTTAATTTTCTTGTCACCTTATACGCTCTCACTATTCCATTTCTTTTCGCTATATTTCGGTTCTCTCCATTTAGGGAGATTGCACCAAGCATAGAATTGACAGTCACCATACAGTAATGATTCCTATGTCCCCAGTATATATATCTGAAATTATCTATCTTTACTATCAATCTTCTGTCATAAATATAAAAAGTAAATACAATATATAATATATATAAACACTCCCCACCACTATATATATATATATATATATATATATATATATATATATATGTGTGTGTGTGTGGTGTGTATGTGTATGTATGTATAAATAGTCCCCACCACAAATATTATATATTTATATATATATATATATATATATATATATATATATATATATATATATATATATATATATATATATATATAAGGCGAAATTTCTTTCTTTAACACAAATATCTTCATTGAGAGAAGTGTTCAAATGTACTTCAGTGAACAACGAAAAAAAGAAATTGGCCTTGCCGTTCAAATACTTGTGGTTGGGATTGTTATTCTCACTTATAGCGAATGAAAACCTTGAATAACAATGTTATATATGTATTTTGGGGCATAGAATCAGAATCTGCAATTTAAAATTAGAAATTCATCGATAAGTGATAGTTATGCAAATTTTTATAATTCGAATAGTTGAAAATTCGTACAGTATCAATTTTTGCATTATAATACGGTAGATTTTAGTTGTACTTCAAAGTAGAAGATTCTAAACTGTTCTAGAATATTCTCAGTAACTCTGTTGCAACATTCAGTTCAAAATTGGATTATTCTGCAGTCACTGTTCACTGATAAGGGTTCTAATAATGGCTAGACGTAAGGAAATGACTTGTGCTAAAAAAAAAGCTAATTATTAAGCTATGAAACAATGGAAAAAGTTACAGAAACATCTCCAGTGACACGAACATACCTTTTTCAACAATTCGTTCATTTAAAAGACGTAATACTGTTGAGAACAAAGGCAGACCCGGTGCTCCCAGGAAGATCTCTCCCAGATTACGAAGAAAGTTGATGCGACAGGTCCAAAATAACCCAATGGCCATCAGACAAGACTTTCAGAATAATCTGAGTTTGTCAGGAGTTAACGTAACTAAGCAAACAATTAGTAATGAACTACGCAGAGACGGTATAAAGTCACGCTCCTCAAGAAAGACATTACTCCTTCTGAAACAGCATAGAGATGCCAGGTTAAAATTTGCGACAGAGCGTAAACATAGGGAATATTCTTATTGGGAAAGACTTCTTTGGACAGATGAGAGTAAAATTGAGTTGTTCGGTCTCAATTCCCTGAATCATGTATGGAGGAAAGACGGCGAAGCATACGCACCCTAGAACACCATACCAACTGTCAAATTTGGTGGGGGTAGTATCATGGTTTGGGGCTGCTTTTCGAAGTGAGGTGTTGGTAAACTAGCAATTATAGACGGTAGAATGAATGTAAAAAATATCAACAAATCCTAAGCGAAAATTTATTCATTTCTGTAGAAAATCTTAGGCTTCCTCCTGATTGGTTCTTCCAGCAGGACAATGATCCCAAGCATACTGCTAAGAGTACGAAGAATTGGCTTGCTAATAATAACGTTAACATCTTACAATGGCCCAGTCAGTCGCCGGATTTGAATCCAATAGAGAATTTATGGCGGTTTTTGAAAAATAAGATCCGTGATAGAGGTCCAACAAACATCAAAAACCTGAAGACAATTACTCAGGAAGAATGAGACAATGTACCTACTAATGTATCATGAATTAAAGACTACAGGAAGAGATTGGTTGCTGGTGAACTTATTAAAGGCTTTCCTACAAAATATTAAATGGAGAAAACATGTTTTTGTTCTGCTGTACGATCATTTTTTAAACCCCTAAAAATTTAAATATTGCTATATTTTCAT